TAATCTGAGCCTGGGAGGCCCTCGCATGTTAATCACAAGCTTCAAATTAATTATGAAAGAACTCCCCAGAGATGTTTTGACAGTCATCCTCCACACATCGCTACTCATTGTCTTGCCAAGGGGACGCTTGTTAAAGTGAGATTAATTCAGATTAAGTCATAGCGTCGTGAAAATGCCCAAAAAGTAGTCAGAGTATTGGGGAGGGAAACGAGCACGCTGGAGACTCCGTGGTCTCCTGCTGTGTGTGAATATCTTGTCCCACTTTTCCTTATCCGAGAGAAGCAGGCTCGCCGGAGCTCGCCGCACCGCGATTAGATTGGGTGAAATTACTCCCCGCTAAACCTCCAGGAGCTGCATGGGGTCCTTATGAGGAGAAGCAAACCCTACTTTGACTCACACATGGCTCAGGGCAGGAGAAAAGTTGCCTCATTGCTATTCAGTCTATTTTTACCCTCCCCTCGCCCGCCTTGTCTCTACACTGGCTTCTTTTTTCCCAGGAAAGGAGAATTACTGAAATCCTTCCTCAAACAGAATCTCACCAAATGATATCGAGTGCCAGTGAGAGCCGGCCACTGTTCAACGTGTCCTTTATTTGTCCTCAGAAGTAGGCGTCAGAACTGATAGGGATTAAAACAAGACTAATAATGTAAATCTGCAGTTCCCACGTCTTCACGAAGACGAGCTGCAGCATATAAATGAAGCCGAACATCAGAGGAAACACTAAATACTGCGTCTCTGCTCGTTCACAATCTGAGCGAGTAAATTCTGTTTACTTAATAACTACAAGGAAAATGAATCACTGAATAATAAGCAGTGTCAAAATATGACGGAAATTTCATTTAAGCTAAAACTAAGCCACATCACCACACAATGACAGACCTGCACCTCTACAGGTTACAGTATAACCTTTTCGCTGTCATATTATGCGCACATTTGCATATACAGTGTTGACTGTAAATAAAAGATGGACGCAGCCACCACAATATCATCTACTGGTGTCTGAGCTCCTCGTTTTAAAGCCTACAAGATCCACAACCATCTGTTTCTTTTCATGCATTTTATTATTTTGTCAGAGATTATTACATTTTAACTACTGATTTTATCTACTGTTCCTTTCTTTTTTTTCCATTTTAAATCATGCTTTTTATTTGTTTTTGTTTTTAATGTCTCTGTAAAGCACTTTGAATCACCTTGCTGTTGAATTGTGCTATATAAATAAACTTGCCTTGATGATACCAATTTGTAGTTAGCTAAAGATAGCTAGCTTGGTTAGCAAACTGTAGAGGTACAAACACCTGCAAATACCTGCCAAGTGACAGGTAAGTGACAGAATAACAACATGCGGGAATTTCACTCACTAAAACTGATCCACAGACTTCTTCCACAGGGTTGTGGTATATTAACCACACAAGCAAGCCATGTATTTGTCAGATAATTGTACTGTAAATCCTCAAAGAACATTTCAAGCTTCATAAATGAAGCCAGGTTCAGTAGAGCTGAAGGAACTCTGACCATAGTTCAGGAGACACCATCAAGATCAAAAGTACTTTAGTGATCAGAAAGCGATGAGGAGTCACAGCTGAATGGTGAGTTTAATGGGATTTTAGGGCTCGTTGTGTTATTTCATAAGCTTTGTCAGTTTCACTCATGCAGACTCTGCTGATGAAGGTCATGTGGTATGACGGAGAGGTCTGCAAGTGGCAGTGATAGAAACTTAGTTAAAAAGGTTTATTATGATGCACAGACAGGAGTTTGATCATTGCAGACTGGAGTCTGGTTTCAGCAGAGGCTGGAGGCCAGGTGAGTCTGCCAGGTAACATGGGACGAGTTATGGACCTGAGGCAGAGCGCAGGAGAGGTAAATTACCAGATTAGAAGAGCCCATGTTTGTCATGGCTCCAGGTTCTTATTTGGTTCTAGCGTATTTTTGTGGCTGCTTTCCTTGTTTGTCTTTACTTCCTGTGTGTGTCCTTGCTCTTTTGTCAGTGCCTGGTTCACACCAGTGTGTAACTGTGTAATCACTCCCTGCTACGTAGTTTATTTTGTCTTTCCCTTTGTCGAGTTCCCTGTTTAGGCTTCCTTAAGTTTCTTGTACTCAAGTTTGTTTCATCCTGTGAAGTTCCTTGGACTTTGTGTATCCTGGTGTTTGCAAACGGGCACTGAAGATTCATTTTTTTATTTACGCCTGTCATTCCCTCCAGGTAATACACAACACCACGGTTCTTCAGGGGCCACGGCAGGGCGACCGTGGCTCAGGGGGTTGGGAATCGCATCTGTAACCGGAAGGTCGCTGGTTCGATCCCTCGGCTCTCTGTCCTGGTCGTTGTGTCCTTGGGCAAGACACTTTACCCTACTTGCCTACTGGTGTTGGCCAGAGGGGCCGATGGCGCGATATGGCAGCCTCGCTTCTGTCAGTCTGCCCAGGGCAGCTGTGGCTACAACCGTAGCTGCCTCCACCAGTGTGTGAATGTGAGAGTGAGTGAATGAATAGTGGTATTGTAAAGCGCTTTGGGTGCCTAGAAAAGTGCTATATAAATCCAATCCATTATTATTATTCATTCAAAGATGGATTTGTGACTTAGCTTCTTTGCACATGCTTTCTTGACTGCCCTTTGCATCACTTTAAGGGGCCTGTGCACAACACAGAATGTAACTTAGTTCCTACCCCAAAAGGAACAACAATAAATAAAGGAAATAAATAAAATACATAAACACAATAAATTAAGAATATTGACATTTATGGCAGTTAAAACATCACTTGCCTCTGCACCACCATTTTCCTTGTCTTATGTTCGGGCAGGTATCTTGCCCAAGGATATTTGTCATCCATATAATATTCAGTTCCACTGCTACGCCGATGACACCCAGCTCTATCTCTCTACCAAACCTGACTCTACTCTTCCTCCACCCTCCCTCATCCTCTGTCTAGCTGAACTTAATTCTTGGTTCTCCTCCAACTTTCTTAAACTCAACAGCAATAAATCGGAACTTCTTCTGGTTGGCACTAAACGACTGCTATCCAGAATTAACAATTTCTCTCTCACCATCAATAACTCGCTGGTGAAAAGCTTGGGTGTCATTCTCGATAGCACATTATCCTTTAACTCACATATCAATAATATTACACGTGCAGCATATTTCCAACTCCGTAACATTAATCGCCTCCGCCCCTTCCTCACACCTCACGCCACTGCCATTCTCATCCATAATCTTGTTATCTCTAGAATTGACTACTGCAACTCATTATTATTTGGCCTTACACAAAAATCTATCAACAAGCTCCAACGTGTCCAGAACTCTGCTGCCCGTATTATTACTAGGACTTCTTCTACCCACCACATCTCCCCAATCCTGAAGCAACTTCACTGGCTCCCGGTCAAATTTCGCATCCATTTTAAAATAATTCTGTATACATTCAAGGCTATTCATTCTCTCTCTCCACCGTACCTCTCTGACTTATTACAGATGAAGCTCCCATCCCGCTGCCTCAGATCTTCATCTTCTCTTTCTCTCTCTGTTCCCTCTGCTCGTCTGATCACAATGGGAGGGAAGGCCTTTAGCTGCTCTGCCCCTCGACTTTGGAATTCCCTACCCCCGGACCTCAGAAATATTAGTTCATTCTCTCTTTTTAAGTCCACCCTCAAAACTCATCTGTTTAAAATTGCCTATTCTTAAATTTCTGTATGTTTTTAACTTTTATCTTCTATTTTTATCATTGTGTATATTTCCAGTTTTTATCTGTTGTACAGTGTCCTTGGGTGCTTTGAAAGGCGCTATTTAAATAAAATGTATTATTATTATTATTATTATTATCCAGACTGGGGGAGCCAGGCATCAAACCACCAACCTTCCGATCAGTAGATGACCTGCTCTACCTCCTGAGCCAGATGAAAACAATCATGTTTTTGGGATTTCCTTACCTGGATGATTGAGCATGGATCAAGACAGCACGCTGTAATATTTGACAGATAGCTGCACTAAAAATGCCCAAGAAACTACAGTCAGTGGCTTCAGTTAGTGGAGGTGACGAAAGATACTCCTAACTCCTGAATCCAAATGAGTGAGTTTTAAACAGATTCTAGCCCCGTTTGGTTGTTATATAGGGTGAACTTAGTTACACGTGCTACAGTGTATTTTGTAGCCTGCTGTAAATATGGTTACTTTAGCTGTAACAATGGGTATTTTAACATGGGAGTCAGTGGGGATCGACTCACTTTGGGATCCAGCCTCATGTGGCCGTAAGAGGAACTGCAGTCCACTTCTGCACTGGCTTCGTTTTACAGCCCTGGAGGTTGAGGCTTGGACTAAAACGAGCCTCCTCCACTGCAGCAGTATGTAAATATGACAGAGGATAATAGGAAGCTACAGAGCAGCCCAGGGAAATCATAAACAGTGTGTAGGCTATGCTTAAGCGACATCGTTTAATCCCAAATTTGGGCAGCTGAGAAGAGAGAGAGTAAAAGGAGGGGGGCAGACAATGGAGGGGAGAGAAAGGAAAAAAGACAAAGGAGGAGAAGAGCGTGGGATGATAGGGACGGTTAAGACAAGGGGAGCGCACACACACACGAGCGCGGAGGTGTGACGTCAAACTGGAGCGTAGCTGACACGCTCGCCCCCCGGTGCAACTCGCTGACCAGTCTCCCGCTCTCTGCAAATCAACTCCACGCGGGTGCTACTGCACGCCCTTTTTAAAAAAAAAAAAAAAAAAACACCGTAGGAGGAGTAAGAGGAGGAGAAGGAGAAAGAGCCAAACCCGGGAGGTCTCACGCGGAGAGAGACGGCTCGCGGGAGGACGACGAACTGGAGGAGGAGGAGGAAGGAGGCTTCGCTCTCTGTCAGCCTCGCGCGCACAGCACGCGGAGGCAGAAGGCATTATTTACTGGACGCTTCCCATGGAGACGCTCTCCGTCTCGCGCGCCGTCCTCTCAGAAAGAAGCGGGTAGGATTGTGACCGAGGGCGGCTCTCTCAGATCTCACAGCCAGGTGTTGCATCCCCCCCCCCCCCCAGTTTCGATGGGGAGGCCTGAGGAGGGTTGAGTGGCTCGCGCTCTCGACTTTAATCTGGAGTCTCGCGCGCAACAACAAGTTGATATTTCTGAGTCGTCGCCGAGTTTCTAAGAGAACAAGATTTTTGGATGTTTTTTCGTGTTTTTTTGCTCCTCTCTGAGTTGCTGACCTCACCGCTGTCTGGATCTGTGTACTCGCGTGTGTGTGTGCATGTGTAGAAGACAGAAGACTGGAATTAATGTGAATATTCGTGCTGCAGGCGCAGATAGGACAGCCATGGCACGGTAAAGCGGACCGAGCTGTGCCAACGACGCACGAGCCATTTGGAAATCTGGTCTCTGTGCCGCGTGCACTCCTCGTGTCCCCGCCTCGTTTTTCCCGCTCCTGGATTGCCGCGGCACCCCGATGGTGCGGACGGTTGGTGGCTCGAGCTTGGACACGCCACCCGGTGATTGTTGTTGTTATTGTTGTTTTGAGACGCTTCTGACGATGCGCGCGGTTCATCTTGGAGATGTTTTTCCTTTCCAGTAGGATTTCTGTGCGGGTTTTTTTCGTTTTTGGAATCGTTCGCGCGACAATGACCTCCAACCCAAGAGAGAAGCACGCGCCCCCAGTTCAGTGCGCACGAGAGGACGTTGTCTCCCCCAAAATCGCCGAGCTCCTTAACGCGCGGGAAGGGTGGGTTACGAGCCTGTAATCAGTGCGGCGAAGACACACACAGACAAACGGGACCAGCGCGCGCGGTGGCAGCTGCCATGGAGCTGTCAGAGGTCCGATGCTCCAGCGCGAGCGAGGAGCTGTACACCATCAACAAGACCCCGAGCAGCAGCAACAACAGCAACAGCAGCGGCAGCGCGCGACCCAAACGGCTGCTGTGGCAGAACGCGGTGCGGCACATCACCGAGCAGCGCTTCATCCACGAGCAGGGCGGGGGAGGGGTGAAGGGCATCGGGCCGGACGAGCCCTACGACCCGAGCCAAGGGGCGCGGAAGCAGTCGGCAGGGCGGACGTCGGTGGGAGACCGGCACAACAACGGCGGGACCAAAGTGTTCCCGGAGCGCGCCAGCAGCGACCTGGGCTTCCTGCAGATCGACTGCGCGCCGAGCAACTCAGACTTCTTCCTGAACTGGGGCTACACGTATCGGGGCGTGATCTTCCCCACGCTGCGCAACTCCTTCAAGTCCCGCGACCTGGAGCGGCTGTACCAGCGCTACTTCCTGGGCCAAAGGCGCAAGTCGGTGGTGGTGATGAACATCCTGGACGTGGTGACCAAGCTCACCCTGCTGGTGCTGCACCTCACCCTGGCCTCCATCCCCATGGACCCCATCAAGGGGACGCTCCTGGGCTTCTTCACGGGCATCGAAGTTGTTATTTGTGCCTTAGTGGTGGTGCGAAAGGACACCACGTCGCACAGCTACCTGCAGTACAGCGGCGTGGTCACCTGGGTGGCAATGGCCACGCAGATCCTGGCGGCAGGGCTGGGCTACGGGCTGCTGGGCGACGGGGTGGGGTACGTTCTCTTCACTCTGTTCGCCACCTACAGCATGCTGCCGCTGCCGCTCACCTGGGCCATCCTGGCCGGCCTGTTCACTTCGGGGCTTCACATCCTGGTCCAGCTGCTCATCTCCAAGAATGTGCAGCTCTCCAGCAACCAGGTGAGCCTTCGACATACCCTGCTTTCACGTCTCCTCCATTCCTCTGCTCTGTCTTCTTTCGTTTGCCCGAAGCAGCTGCTTTATCTTCCTCTTTCTCCTCCCTGAAACTTTATCTTTTTACGGAGCGCTGATATTTACCGGAACTCTCAGCTGTGTGATGATGTTTCACTTTCCAAACCTACAGTCAGTTTATGTGCAGCTGGCACGTGTGTTTTCCCGTCTTTTAGAGCGCACAATTACAGTCGTAGACTCCACGACCAGGTGTGAATTTACCTGAGATGTTTTGTGTCGCCTGTGCTTCCCCGACTCTGGCTCAGGTGGTTTGATTTTTTCGTGTTTTAATAATGAAATGCGTCAGTTTGTGACAGCAGCTTGGTGTGACTGCCTCAGAGTGCTGCAGGTTTCAGCACCAGGAGCTGTCCAACACATACAGACACACACACAGACACACACACACACACAAAGGAGGGCCTGAAATGCAGCTGAGCTCCACATAGGTTTAGCGCCCCCTGCGGGTGAAAACAATAACTTTAATCTTTTTTGGTAAAAATGCATCAAATTCCAGGAGGTCTTTTAGAGTCAGATGCTTCATATGGAAGTGTGCAGGTGAACAGCCGAGAGGGTGATATTTCTAAATGTGCTTGCCTTTGATTGTCAGACTGTCTTATGGCACCATCATCATATATGTCTGAGTCCCTGAAAGCACCAAGAAATGAACACAGAGCTCTCAGAAAGCTTCAAATAACCGCAGCAGTCTGTCAACATCGACTGAAGAGCTGATCATCAGATGTGGAAGTAAACAACGCAAGCTAATGAAGCAGAACACGATTCTGAGCAGTTTTGTTGCTACTTAGTATCTGATTGATGGCGAGAGAGTGAGCGGCATGTTGCTGTAATCCATTAGTGGCCTGTCGTTGAACTTTCCCTCGAGGAGGGAGATGTTACAGCTCAACTATTTGATTTCTCAGCTCGTTTTGTGGAGTCTTTGCTTTACACGGCTCTCGGTTTACAGACTGAAACTTAAATTCTATTTCAGTTCAGTTTGTGTTTGTGTTTATAAGGTAAAGACTCTACAATCTAGGACAGACAACACTAACAATATGAGCATCGACACTGGGGAGGAAGAACTCTGTTTTAGCTATTTGCTGTTACATGTAGGGGGTTGATGAAGAAACGACAAACAATAAACAGAACTATTAATCATAGGCAGGTAAAAATAGGTGCCTCTGTTCTGTCGGAGGTTCCTTCCTCTTAAAAGGGAATTATTTTTTCCCACTTTTTCCCAACTGCTTGCTCATAGGGGGCTGACTGATTGTTGGGATTTTCTTTCTAACTTTGCAGGGTCTTTATCTTACAATATAAAGTATCTTGAGGCGAATGTTGTTGAAAATATGTATGTGAAGTTGAACCAATTTAATTGAATTTAATTAAAAGTTTGGATCTTAAAAGTAGACAGGGTGTCTTCTGAACCCAAACAGGAAGCTGCTTCCGCAGGAGCGGAGCCTGCCTCCTGTTCTGCTTTTGGAAATTTCAAATCAATTGCTTATTTGTTTGTTGTGACCTATACAGTCAAAAACCTTCAAATCTCAAAGCTGGGTCCATGTTGCTGCAGTAAAGAATCGTTCCAAAATGTCCAGGCTCCACATCCAGTTTGACTCCCAAATGAAATCAATCATAATTTTGGTGAAAAATGTACAGAAATCTGCCCATAACGTTTGGTAATCCTGCTAACAAACAGTCAGACAGATAATCTGAACCACTGAAGCTTCTTGAACCTCTTTGGCAGGATTAAATTGTTATTTTGAGATTTATGCAGGCAAAGGGATAACTTTCTTTTTTAAGTTTAGGGATTTTATGAATTGATGCAAAGCAGTCAGTGAGTGTGTCCTGGTACTGGCGACCAAGTGCTAACCCTGCAGTAATCCACAGTAATGTGCTGAAATGATATAATTGCAAGTTAAACCTTTCACTGCATGGTTTGCACACTAAAATATTTGACTCCCTTTTTTCTTTTATCTCGTTGAAAAGCTCAGGAGGTATCGAGAGTGTTTTCCATTAATCAGAAAGCCAATGATTTCATTCAGAAACTGGCCCTAACATCACTGGTGCCTCTCTACGATAATGTGGTGTATTTCTACTATAATAAATGCAGTGTGAAGAAGTGAATGTGGTTTGTATTCTGACAACGTGGTTTGTTTGGTGCTAACAGAGTCTGAGGATTGTCGTGTGAGCGCTGAGATAAATTGTTGGGTTGGTCAGAGGTTTTCTTCCACATCCTGCAGACGGCCCTGAACTGTTGGTTTCGGTTTACAGACGACCTGCTCTGCTCGTTTCTAGGCCCATTTTGTCCATTCGTGGACGTCACCCTCCCGCTAGATCAACATTTCTGATTGGCTCCCATCATATTAGGGACATCCATTCAGTATGACATCATACCGAGGCAAGAGTAAAAAAAAAGTCTGAATCCTGAGCTGCTTTTTTGCTCACTTTGATTCAGTTTCCTCGTTATTTGATACTTGGTTTAATATCCATCATTGGAACAGTTTATATATGACAGAAAACCAGGAAAAGCAGAACGCAGAGCTTTGTAAATGGGAATCATTTTTATGGAGAACTGTCATAAAGTAAGAACGGCATAATTTACATACTTGTTGTTCTTAGAAACCTTTGTGTCAGTCCAGGAGTCATGTTGCTATACTGCAAATAATATGATTTTTGTTTTTATAGCATTGGTTTGACTAATCTGGCCATCATAATAACGCTTTATTTTAGGAATCAGCTGTTTAAAAGTCTGAAAGATGCATAGCTTTTGGAAATTTCATGCAATGTGTTATCAATGTGTTATATTGTTATCACAATAGGTTCCTTTGTAAAAAAAAATGTGTGTTTTCTCGAAGTGTGTAGTGAGGAGCAACAACAAACATCAAAGAAGCAAAAACAGAGATGCTGCAGATGGTTGTGTGTGCGCTGGTAGACGCTCTCACCTGAGGTGGATTATTCAGTGAGTTTAACTGCCTGTGATTATGAGTCTTCGGTCTGATGAAAACGTCACACAGCCTCTCAGATGTGTTTTCTTTTGACTTGACGTATTTCTTTTAAGATGAGTGTGAAATGCTCTCGAGTGCTGTGCACATCTCATTTCAGAATTAGCTCCTCACATCAGCAATTAGCTACGAAATATATTTTATAAATCAGCCGTCAGCTCTTTCATGTCTGGCAGATTTCCCAGAGTGACTTGTAATACTTGAAAGGAGCGTAGACGAACATGTGACGGGCAACTCGATGAAGAGCTCTTATACTTGGTCTTGAAATGCATTATTTTAGGGTTATGCAGAAACAAACACACAACATGAAGCCCAAAGCTACAGATCAAAGCGCATACACACAGCGTGTCTCTGGTCTGGAAGGATAATTCAGGTTAATTTATAATGTGTCCACTGTGGCTCTGTGCTCACTTTTCTGTCTTCACCTCTGTTGGAAAGATTTGGGGAAACATGGGACTCCCTGCAGCTCCCAGTAAAACTTGCTTAGACAGTTTATGGAGTCTGACTCAGAGATGAAAACTGAACATACCCCCTGCAGTAGGGCAGGGAGATTAATTGGATTTTAATTTTAATTAAGATTTTGGCTTCCGATAATGAAAACAAGATGATTAGGATAAAACAGTTTTTCCAGTAATTTTTTGCTAAAAATCACAATATTGTCTTGTTATAAGCTGCGGGGGGAGGGGGCTCTGAAAGCTTCACTCACAGTTTATTTCAGCTTGAGCTGTGATGCTGGAAAGAAAGTCATCAAATCTGTAGCCTGTAGGCTTATTGTTACCTTTTATGACTTCGGCTGAGGAGTCATATTTGTTACCCATCGGCTGAAAAAGGCTGCTGGGGTATTGTTGTTACTCTGCTGGTGAGCTGATGAGCGGGTGGCGTGGAAAGCCAAGTTTGTCAATGAGAAAACTCGAGAATGAGGCGACATAGGAGCTTCAAATTGATATCCCAGGTTCAACTACTAAACATCTCGGACAAGTTTGAAACTAAGTGACCTCAACCTCAAGGTCAGAGGTCAAGTTTTCTGCTATAACTCAAAGCTACCACAGAAAAGAGTAAAAACTCAGGTCAGAACATCAGCAATCAGCAGAAGTGCTGCTTCACTGACTGCAGCTGGATTCGTTACTATCGATGACTATCGTGCTGTTAGGCACATTCAGCTGTCAAGGACGTATCGTACACAAACTCTGCAGCTTCTTAAAGTTTTTCTGTGTTCAGCAGTCGAAGGGAAACCACTATATTTGAAATAAGGTGATGATTTGCACTTTAAAGTACAATGTGGCACAGTTTGTTAGCTCTCAGCTCAGCAGTTCTCAGTATTGGAAAGAGGATTAATGTTAAACTGTTTTTTATCTTCTTTGTCAGATTCGGGTATTTCAGGCTTTATAAGCATCATTACGTATTTTTGTTGTTGCTTGAGCTCTTTTTAATTTCACATTTTGTTCTCTTGTATAATAAAAACTGAGCTAAACAGTTAGTCGATCATTAAATTTGCTTTTTGTTGCCGATGGTGCGGACCTGCTTTTGTCCATCATTATGAATTCACTAACTGTGTATGTGTGGTTTGGACTCCTTAGCTTGGACAGGTATATATATATATGTGTGTAATTTTCACAGTTTTAGATTTGACTTTAACTTAAATGCTTTGAATCTTTGGCATTTTATGGTGATGATACCATTCAGTGTTTGAATGCTTTAGAGCTCGTTGAATTATCTTTCTCGGGTAATTCTTCGGTGAGCTTCTTTGACCGTTTGTTAGCAGAATACATCTAAATTATAAACAGAGACTTGCATGTATATTTGATCATAGGTGAGGCTTTGCCCAACTTAGAAGGGATTATTGTTCGGTTTTGACATAGATATGCATCCTGGAAAGAGTGACATTACCCCAGGAATTACTGGAAATACTGGTTTAGGTGAGGGAGCTACCTGCTTACATGTCACCTACTCGATAGC